GCCTCTTCTACTACGCCTCTTCTACTACGTCCGCTGTTCAATAACCAATAATTGTGTCTGTACCTGAACCCTTCCTTTGGGCTTCGATGGGCAATGAGCAGTCTCTAGTTTGATTCTAGGCTACCGTCATTCTATGCTTCACGCTGGGCCCATTGGAGGGAGGTAATGTTACTACCACTGGCACACACACGTAGGCACGCAGCCATTAACAACCCTGGGCCTTCAGCTCCAAAAATACAAGGCTCTCTTGTTTGGACTAAAGTGAAATTCCTTTAGCTGCTGTTAGCAAGACCCTTATCTTTTCGGTGGAGCAGCTACTAGAGGGCAAGATCATACATATGCTCACAGCCAATCCATATAGTAAGATGCAGGTGGTGCTACCCACTAGTCTAGGAGCTGCTTTCGGCTCCTACCAAATGTAATTTTAATCCTTAGGAAACCGGCTAGTTCTCAGCTGGACATTGCCAGGCAACTGGTTAATTTTTACGTGACTGGTGTCAAACCAGTAGGGGGAGTCTGTGGGTGCTGGGAGGAGCGCCTAGGGCAGGACTCCTGCCTCCAGAGAATCCTATCATCTCCCACCTGCTTGATGGAAACCTTCTTGTCTCCTCTTGCAGGCCCTCTTAGTGAAAGCTGCCTTCTCGGCTGCTGGACCCTACTCTCCCTCAACGAAGGACACAGCATGTGCCTACGGTAGATGCTGCGGGGGGGCAAGACTTATTGGCACGGAATACAGAGTGGCTTCATGCTAAACAGCAGGCTGTCTACAAGCAGGCCAGGGACTGTGGGACGAGGACTCTCTGCGAAGGGTTGCAGTAAAGTTCTCATTTTGCACAATGGCGGGGCACATGACTGGAACCAGGGGGGTGGGCAAAGTGCCCATGATCCGCATCCTCAGCACTTCGCTGCAATTGACCATGAGTGCTAAGCGTAAAAGCTGCTGGGATATTTTCCCAGCAGAAACTCCACTCAGAAATTGGTTTGTATGTGAGCTGCAGAGATCGAGTCTCTCTGGTCCTGACCTTTGCCAGTAAACACAGGTGCTCCTGTGGGGACTGAAGGAAAGGGGAAGGCGCCTGAGCTCAATTACACAGGAAAGACAATCAATACCACGCTGGTGCATCCAGGGAGAGAGAGCACAGCATGGAACTCCCCGTCTGTTTGGCTGATGTCTGTAAAAATCAGTGGGGCTTTTATCTCCCTGAACTTGATCAGTGTCCAAGGGGAGACTAAATCAGTAACAGCAAGTCCTGAGTCCCTTTGTGCAAGAAAAACAAGATTAACCACCCCCCCCCTCCATCTCACTGAGAGAAGCCCTAGACAGTGCTGTCACTGACCTCAGAGGCTTAAATAGGCAGCTGACTGTGTAAGTTACCCCCTCTCTAAACCAGAAAGAGGAGCTGTAAGTTTTTCAATTGTGCAGGTCCTGACCTCAATTATTTCACGAGGCACTTGTAAGAGTAGTTTATGCCTTTGTGACACCTGACACCAACCCTGATCATTGTAATTCCCTCATAGTAAGGCTTCTGCAGTGCTTCTCGGTGTTGCTTGCATCTTGTTCAGAATACAGCAGCATGTCTGCCCATAGGTTTGAGTAGGGTGATCACATAATCCGATTATTTTCCATCAATATCAATCTAGGTTGGAGTCAAACCACTAGAGGGTAGTGACACTCTTGTCCATTACCAGTCCCTTGAGCTAACCAGTTCAACATGCTTCTATCTGACTAGCCACACCCAATAACACCTATACACACACTTGTGCACAAGGAGTATTCCTCATTCAGGCAGGTGTGGTGTTGAGCAGTCCTGAGCTCAGACTGCCAAGAGTTTCCCCCGCAGCTCTGGAGTGTTTAGTCTCAGCAATCAGGGGCTGAGATCTCTGTGAAGCACAGGACTGGGATCGATGTCTGCACCTTTGACTTCTCTGGGAGTTGTGGGTGCTCCGTCTCTCTAACCTACTACTGGCCACCAGAGACAATGTATTCTCAGAGGAGAGGAAGACACTTACGTTTAGCCATGATTTTTCTCAGGATATTACATAATTCAAAAGCAGAGATCTCTGCATCCTGTGGAAATGTAAAGAACAGTTGTAACAAAATATTCATAGTAAGCCAAGCCAGATGTGGAATCTATGTAACAGGGAAGGGCATGAGAGGGTTAGCTAGAAGATCTATTGCATTTACCTGGACTGAATAAAATTTGCACAAATGAAATCAAGTGCTCTGCAATGTTTTAAACTGTCTGCATTTTCTAATTTGGCTAGCACCTCTCATGCTAACAGCAGTTACTGGGCATGCTCAGGACTCCTTCTGATGAGTTTGCCAGGTCTAGCTTTTACTCTTGAAAATTCCCATCACCTCTCGTGCTCCAAGCACACTCTGTCTTGGACTTCAAATCCTTCCATAAAACCCACTCCTTCTGTGAAACCTTCCTGTGCTGATCTCACTGGCCAGGTCTGGATTCCATTGCTTCTGCTCTGCTTTCTAGATGTGAGCCAGGGCAGTGGCTCTCAACCTTTTCACACTACTGTGCCTCTTTCAGGAGTCTGATTTGTTTGTGGACTGCCATGTTTCACCTCACTTAAACTCCTTGCTTACAAAATCAGACATCAAAATACAAAAGTGTCACAGCGCACTATTACTCAAACAGTGCTAACTTTCTCGTTTTTACCATATAATTATAAAATAAATCGATTGGAATATAAATATTGTACTTACATTTCAGTGTATAGTATATAGAGCAACATAAACAAGTCATTGTCCGTATGAAATTTTGGTCTGGACTGACTTCGCTAGTGCTTTTTATGTAGCCTGTTGCAAAACTAGGCAAATCTCTAGATAAGTTGATGTACTCCCGGAAGACCTCTGCGTAACCCCAGGGGTATGCGTACCCCGGGTTGAGAATCACTGAGCTAGGAGACTGACTCAGCAGAAACAACCGCAGGTGCAATCAGCAGAGGGTTTAACCAGAGTAAGTCTAAACAAGATAATGTAACACAAAAAGAGTAATAGTAACTCTCCCTGCCTGGGGTTCGCTCCACTCACTGGAGCCCTGGGTGTATAGCCAGGAAGCTCTTTCCTCTGAGCACCCATGCAAGAGGCAAAGGGGAAGCTCAGCTGAGCCTTTTTCTCTGGGGACCAGATATTGCCCCTGTATCTTGTCATACCTGGTTACTCCATAAGCCAGATTTTCAGAAGGGCATGTGCTCAGCAGCGTGCATAAAAGTGCATGTGCAACTTGCATATTTTGCGTGTATAATTGCTGTGATTGCTGGATGAGCTGAACCAGGAACTTCCAGAGCTAAAGGCATGAATCTAAAGAGCTTGACCCGAAGAGCTAAGTTCTTTAGCTGGGGGCTATACTAGACTGTGATGGAACATCCACCCCACACTGGCCTGTAAGGGGTTAATGGAGCCCTAGGGAGCCTGTGCAGAAAGCAGCCAATAGGAGAGGGGCTGTGAGGAGCAGCCAATCAGGGTCGGGCAGGCCTATATAAGAAGAGTTGCAGAGCAGAGGCAGTAGCTGCCTGGAGCTTGAGGAGGGAAAATCAGGCTCTTAGCAGGAGGAAGGCATGCCAGCACCCTGGACAAAGCAGTGCTGCGACAGGGACCCGGGAAGCTAGAGAGAACTCCTGGCTAGCTGCTAAGACGGGCAGGCCTAAGTACTGAGGTAAGGGGAAGAAGGTGCTGGAGGCCATAGGACAGTGGCCCAGGGAACTGAACTGAGGAGTCAGAGGGGACACAGCAAGTGGCAGCCATCTAGAGGATTCTTGGGCTGGGACCCAGAGTAGTGGGTGGGCCTGGGTTCCCCCCCACCCCCACTCACCACTGAGGAAGTGGCTGCATTAATGGACTATGATATTGTCCCCTGGAAGGGGGGAACACAGAGTGTGACACAGCCGGAGACCAGTGTCTATGAAGAGAATGCCTCAGTCCTGGGGGTGGTGTGGGTCCGGGAACAAAAGTGATAGCGGCGAGGCACCACCAGAGGAACATGCACTGGCTACCAGAGCTAATTCCCATTTCAGCCACAAGGAGACGCCGGAGTGGTAAGTGAACCCCGTTACACAACCCATTGCCTGTGGTAATTAGGCACACGCCTGTGGACATTTTGGCTTGCACAATGATGTATGTATGTTTTGCAAATCTGGCCAGCACATGTGAGTTAAACTGCTCGTTGGGGCAGAAGACAAAGAAGATTTGTGGAGAACCATGTACAATAATAATAATGGATAAGAATATGTAAGAGAAATACCCACCGCTCCAGCCAACTGCGCAAAAAGTTTTTTGAAACTGGGTTCAATGTTATCTTCACTGATGTCATTCTAGAAAAGGGTTTGAATGGTAAAAATCAACCTGTTATAAGGAGGGACATTGTGTCGGAGATGCTGTTTCATTAGCAATCATATTTAAACGAATGCATTTCCTTAGCTATGGTACAAGTAACACTGCCGATTATTGCATTGGAAAGAATGTTTAAAATCTAATTTTTACTATTGATTCTATTTTTGGTATTTTCTTTTAACAAAACCAAATATTGGACTAAACTGAACCCGAGAGTGTCTAGTTTAAAGAAACAAAAGTAAAACATTAAGATCCCACTCCTGCAAAGATTTACATACATGCTAATTAAGTAATCTCCTGCTTTAACTACTAGGACAAGCTCTCGCTAACAAAACTATACATATAATCCTGCATCCCTTACACAAGCCATTTCATAATGTCAGTGGGACTACTCACAACTACGTATTGCTGGATTGGGTCCCTATACTCAAATATGGATTAATGTCTACATCTGAAAACTGAAGCCTCTTTGCCTAGGCTTGAACCATTTCAATGAACAGTATCTGATCTGGTATCTGAGCAGGCTGAGTTTTGTTGCTGCAGGTAAAGGCTGAAATCTATTTTCAAAGCTGCTTCTGATGTTTTCATTGACTTCACTGGGAGCCACGTATGTACATCCAAGAATCTGGCTTCAGGATGAAATAGGAGTTCTTGACGGATTATGGACTAACAGAAAAAGACTACAATACTGTGCATGTTTTGTACTGCTCGAGGAACGGGGGAGTCAGAAATGCACATTCAGATAAATGGAAAAAAGGCGTGATCAATGAGGTTAAGATTCTGTCAAAGGCATTTTTAGTAAAAGTCAGGGACAAATCGCAGGCAATAAACAAAAGTTCACAGAAGCCCATGACCTGTCCTTGACTTTTACTAAAAATACCAGGAGGGAGGTGGGGGATGGCAGAGGAGAAATAGAGTGCTGCCAGGGGGGCTAACCCAACCCCAGCTGCTGCTCTGGTGGGCCTGGGGGCCGCTGCTTCTGCATCAGCAGCCCCCAGAGCTGACCGCTGGCAGCTTCTCCAGCCCCACTGCTGCTCCTGCCCCAAGGGTGCTGACCTAACCCCAGGCACGGCTTCAACCGGGGGCTGCTGCTCCAGCGGTCCCTGGGTTGACAAGTGCTCCAGCCCTGCCCCAGAAGAAGTCACGGAGATCCTGGCAAATCATGGAATCCGTGAATACCTCCATGATAGAATCATATCCTTAACTATCACCTTTCTGGCTGTGATAGGATCGCTTCAATAAGCAATATTAAGGTGGGGGGAAAGAAGATATACCTCTTCAATATTGGCCTCAATTTCATCATCTACAATCCTAGAAAGATAAAAGGATTGATGTTAAAACAAACGAATAAAAAATAAACTAGCTTAAGCAGAAGTTTTACTTCAATACTGGTTCTTTTAACTCCTGTAATATAGCATTAGAAAATACTAAAAAAATCCATTTAAATATTAATTGAAAATCAAGTTGTTAGTAATAATGTTTGAGGATGACTGCCCACAGAAACTGACTTTCAAGCAAACCAGTGCCATTAACATTATTCCAATTATGACAACATAATTTTTAGTTCATTTCACCCTCAAAGCACTTTACTTTTACAAACCATGACACACTCCTATGAGGCAGGTAAGCATTACAGATTCAGAGAAGATTGATTTTAAGGCCAGAATGAACCAGTATGATCATCTAGTCTGACCTCCTACACAGATTATTTTTCACCCACTAACGCCTCCATCAAACCCATATCTATTAACTTCCCTATTTCAGAGGGAAGGAAATAGGCATAGAGCATTTCAGTAATTTATCCAAGGCTTCAGAAGTAATCTGAGTCAGAGCTGGAATTAGAACTGGCTCCTACTCCTCCATTGAGATTACTAGACCATCCCATTCTGTTAGTACACAAGATGCAGCAAACCAAAGGAGGAGAAAAGTTCTATTTAGCTCATGTGCTGCTACTTGTGTGGATCTATCACCTGGGGAAGGAGCGTTGGTGAGTTATGGTTGAGGGCAGAACTAAAACTGAATAGCTACTTGAAGGCTGAAAATAAACCATGTGGCAGGAGACCCAGTTTTCACAGGAGGCCGTGTAACATGCAGGCCTAGAGTAAGTGGCCTTTTGTGTTTGTATGTAGGATTTGTACTAGGGACCTAGAGATGAAAAGCTTCCTAACACATTTCCAATCCCCTGAGCCATCCCTTCCTCACACTGTGACAGTTTTGAAATTCTTCTCTTCACGGAATAATCATGATTATTCTGTGTACTTCCCAAACGGTGCAGTTTAGAATCAGTCGTGTTTAACATTTCACATTTTTAATCAAGGAAGACATTCAGCTGGGCTAGTTCCCTGCGCCTTTTCCCAGCAAGATTTCAAAGGTGTGAGCTCACTTCTTATGACTAATTGTGGGCACTAGTCCTACAATTGGGCTTCAGAGGCAATAGGAAACCATGTACATCTCATTGTGAGAGTTAACATTTCCATGAGTCAGAGAGCCCAGCTTGCTATTATCTGGTGCTTTCTTTAACACTTAAGACTCAATTGGTTACTGCTCAAATAATCAGCGCCTACGCTGCCAGAATCAATATGAAATCTGCCCATCACCTTCTGCTGCGTTTAATTAGAACTCTCCTCACTGGTGCTCAGAAGCAATGAAGAAGTTGATAATGGGTTGGATTCAATCCCGTATTAAAGAGGAAATTGAAATTCAGGCTGATGCTCTGTCCTCCTAGATGCTCACCCTGGATTACTAAGTACACAGTGTGAGTGAAGGACAGAGCTAGTCTTGCATTAGCTGGGCCCTGTAGGTTTCAGTAAGACATTGTCTGATTCTGAGTGAGTTTAAAGATGCTGCACTGACAGCCCTGGAAACTGAAGTCCTTCACCCAGTATAAGAGGGGGAATCGATGCAAACTTCACTTCAGCATCACTCCACATCTGCCCCTTGCACCTTTCTTCCTCACCTCCCTCTCTCTTCTCACCAGCTCTGTCCCCCTCACCACACTCCCTTTCTCTGTCTTTCCATTGAGCTAATCCCCTCCTAACTAACTTGCCTTTGCAAACTGTGGAACTAACATGACATGGGCCACAGTCACATTGATCACTCTGCTTGTTTGCTACATCCCTTTCCCCTACACATTGTCTGTCTTGTTTATCTGGGGGCAAAGCTGTCTACTACTTTGTGTTTTTATAGTGCCTAGCACAGTGGGACTGATCTTAGTTGGACCCTGGACACTACTGCAATAAATGTGATTAACAATAACAAGAAACTTCTCCACACTTCCCTGCAAATAGGATAAACAGTCCTAAACCCTCACCAGAAGAGACCACCACTAGAGATCAGAGGGTAATTCAGATGCCTTGGTGCCTTTGATCATTGGCCTCTCAGATGAGGCTCTCAACGAGGATGCCAATTGTTGTGGGGTTTTCCTTTAATGCAGCTACCTATCCACAGGAAAATGGAATGAAACCACAAACTCCTTTCACATGGGCCAGAGTGACGTTATCTCATAGTAGCAATTTTTATCATTCTACATTTAAACCAGTGAGCTAAGGGGATCCCATTAGCAATTCTCAGGGCCATCCAGTCCCTCAGAGACATCAGATTTATCTGGATAATATTTCTGGATTACCACGAGGAGAGAGAGGGTGCATTGGCTACGTACTGTGAATCTGCATTCTTTTCAGAGAAGACTCGGAGGCAAAAATCCCCATCCTTGTTGGGTTCAAAAGTGGATGGCACAATGACATATTCTCCTGGAGGCAGTTTGAATCGGTTTAGTACCTCTCGGAGGTTGATGAAGTTGTTTGATTTTTCTCTGGCTCTGTTCGTCAGGAAGAAGTTTTTGCTCAGATGAACGTTTGTCTGGCCAGAAAACTTATTCAAACAAAGAGAGTTATTTCAGTTCAAAGAGAAGCTGAAGACAGTACAGTAAAATGTTATCTTTCTTGCGTAAAGATCAATGCAACAGTATTATGAGAGAGAATAAGTAATGGCATGGTATATAGGTTTCATTGGCACGAGTTTGCGATGGTCACCTTATTTGTGAGTTTGAGGGCTAATGCATGTTACGCAGGTCATCCCAAATGAGGGTCAATAAAACCTTTACGCTGGACTGTCAAATTCTAGATACATTACACAGTTTGGGAGGAATTTGGCAAAATATTTAGGATTTTAAAGACACGTGCTGGGTGTCATTCTTCACATCCCACCGACCTGGAAAGCCAGGGATGTCTAAGGGTCTGTCTCTCTGCTAATGTGGTGTGTGTATGTTAATATTATACTTGATACAAGTCAGGGTATACTGGTTTAGGACAATACAGCATAATCTTAGTGTTCAGGGAATCAAACAGCTCCTATCTTATTGCAATTGCCCTCAAACACAGTCATAGTATAAAAAAGCCTAGGCTTGTATTAACTAGATGCAATTGACAATAGAGATCAAAAGGGACAATAAAAAATCATCATTTGGAATATTCATTTTGTGCCAAATTTGGACCCTGTGCAAGCCTGAGAAAACAGACTACCTAGGAAGGTTTGCTGGGTTTGTGCAGCAAAGAATCCTACCCATGTGCAGAGCAGCAATACATCAAAAACAAATAGCTTCCGGCCTGGAATACCTACTTATAGACTTAGCAAGGTCAACATTCTCCATCCAGTGGAGTGGTGTCTCTTTATCCATGCCATTAAACCCCGTCTATGAACATTAACCACTGAGAATGGAGGAAAGAGAAAATGCACATTACATACCTGCGAGGGCAGCTGCAGAAAAAGCGGAAAGAGACACAAGTTATTCATTTATTCATTGAAAGGAAACTAGCAGATAGGTTAGATAATTATTACTATTATTCAAGGTCATGACATTTTTCTGCTGATATTTCACTCTGCACCTCTCTGATACATATCTAGTGAAATACACTGTAATAGATATGGCTATACTCAATACTGCTAGCTGAGGTGTATTCTCTGGCATCTTGTATTAAAGCAGGGCACTCAAGCTTTATCCAACTAACGGCCATGTGGCAACTTGTCAGGACTCTGAGGGCTACACCTAACCTGTATAAAATGGAGCCATTAGTAGCCATCTCCTTCTCCAAAACGGCAATATGGCCTTTAGAAACTACAGATCCCATCATGCAATGCTCTGTCATGATCTGAGTGAAAGACCTCTTACTTCATAGTGGGCACTGTAGTCTCTGCAAACTGACCCACTAAATCAAAGAGGAGAATCTGTGGGCTCCATTGTAACTCTCCATTGGACACATTCAGTTTGAACATCAAACCTAGGTCATTCCATCCCCTTGTCCACCATCCTACTGAAAGGAATCAGGAATACTGCTGGTTTCTGGCTCACTTGCCTTGGCATGAAACTGCCAAGGATTTAACAATTCCAAACAGGAGGTTTCAAGCAGCACCCAGTTCAGTGTTTTTCCTTTGGGATTTGCATGCAAATCTTCTGTTGAATGGGCTGCTTGTTGTCCCTCTCCCCCAAAAAATCACAAGAGGGACCAGGCGGTTCATTAACTGGCATTACAATAATTAATATAGTCTTGCACTTGTCTAGCAACTTTCTTCAGAGAATTCAAACTTGCTTTAAGCCTCACAATGCCCAGGTGGAGCAGGTGCTGTGACATCTATTTTCCAGCGTTGGAAATTGAGGTAGAACGCCGTTAAGTAACCTGCCCAAGCTCATACACAACTTTGTGATACAACTGGGAATAGAACTTGGGGAATTAAGCCCTAGACGACACTACGCTTAAAGGAAGTACCAGTGAGCCTGTACGTGTTTATTAGGAAATAGAGGTGGAGCTGGCTTAGATGCACACACCAATGCCAGCCCCTTTGTATAGAGTCCTTTATCCCAGCCAGTCTTACACATGCTTTCACTGGCTCTGCTCCTGGGCTGATCTTTTTCACACTCGCACTGATCCTCAACTAGCATCCTATCCCCTGCCAGAATCACTGCCATGCTGTCGCCACTCCTCATGATTTGATCAACTGAAGAAGGCTGAGATGAGTGGAACCCAGAATGCATTTCTGACTTTTCATTGTTTAACCCCTACCCTGCCCCTGTACACCAGAGGTGTTCAGCAGCTGGCACTCAGGGTGACTAGACATATCAGGTGCTGGACGGGCATTGCTGCATATGACTTTGTCTTGTTCCTGAAGCGTTAGGCAGCAGGGAAGCAGACGAGTCATTCAGTCATGACCCCTCCCGCTTTTTGAAGTTCTGGGGACTTTTTGTATTTTCTTCTCCTCAAGGAATTTGCATGTGTATGTGCATTGCTCTACTTGCCTCGTAGATCCCAAAGCCAATGGTGTGCATATCCTCCCCCATCTTCCGCTGTCTCCTGCGGTGCTTCTGAATCAGGCCAACCAAGAAGGTGCAGCCCTTCTCAGGATCATTGGGATCCTCATCTTCTTCCTCCAGCTTAATCAAATACTGCGGATTCATCCAGAAGGTATCTGAGAAAACAGAGTTTGTGACACAAACCCCTCAGAGCCTTCTCTGAAACCAGCCCATGCTGAAATTTCTCAGCAGCCCTGTAGCTTGGACGTGTCCTTAAAGATATAGACCTAAACTTTCAAACTGGGGTGCATAAAGAACAGCAACAATGTCCAGATTTATGTCCCTATGCAAGTGGTCTGATTTTTTTCAGAGACGATGATCACCTGCAGCTCCCATTGAAACCAATTTCCCGTGAAGTCAATGGGAGTTGTGGGGACTTAGTACCCCTGAAAATCAGGTTCTAGGTGTCTCAAAATGAGCACCTGATCGCGGAGGCACCCATAGTTGGTGGAAAACGCTGGCCTAAGGGACTTGCCCAAGGCCGCAAAAGAAGTCAACGTGAGAACCAGGATTAGACTCCCCCAAGCTCTCAGGGGGCCAGTCCATGCTTAGACCACTAGTTCATAGCTCTCTGTCTAGACACAGTCCTGGAGAAAGACGTATCCAACTGGTGTTTGGCAGGGACTGTGTGAGAGTTTTAAACAAGTAGTGGATTAAGCCAAGGGCAACTATCTAGATTTTTTTTTTGAAATCATCAGGGAAAGAATAAATAGGAGTTTAGTGGAAGCTACACTGAAGGATGAGCCACCCCGACTGAGGGGGATTTTATAGAACTCCATGTGCCCTAAGGAATTCTAGCTAGAATAAGTCCATGTGTGTTTTCTGTGAATGCAGAAGTAGCACTTGGGAAGTCTTACTTGGGTAATTCCTGCAACCCCCAGCAGTGGAGCCACGCCTCCAGTTCCCATCTAGCTTGGTCAGGCTCCACTTCTTGTATTTTTCATTAGTCAGCGTGTCTGGAGTCAGGTTGCAGATCTCAAGGCGGGAGTAATGTCTCAGGAAATCACTGAATGACATCCTGTGAGAAGCAATGCCACACACAAATCATGCTTAGAAGGGGAGACTTCCCACATGCCACTTTTCCTAATCCTCCCTCTAATAACTCTAGCTACGACCTGACACTACAGTTGTTGGCCAGGGTGATGAGGTGCTTTATCCAGTCATTGTGGGGACTTGGGTATTACGTGATTGAAATCCCTCCTACATTTATTACAGGGCCACTACACCGATCCATCAAATTTCTGGTTATCTGGATCCTGGACCCCACATCCAATGGGATAGGCTACAACGTCTCTGCTCAGGTTCGCAGATAGCTGTGCGCTTCCATATTATCCCCAGGCCTATTTATCTGAGTCACTGTTTGTTGGCCTAGGGTATTTATGTTCAAAAATGGAGGAAAACAATCAATCTCCCCTGCTATTAAAAAACCCAGAACTTCTCACCAAAATTCTCCATCTTCATGTCTCCTGGTCAGTCGCTCTCTCACTTCAGGAGCGACGCTGTTCCAGTTTGAGCAGCTAGAACATAAAAATGGGAGTTTGCTTAATTGTCAAATGATAGCTCAAAGTCCATCCCTAATGCAGTGACTTTGATGGGGTCACTTTGCTCTCCTGTGGCTCCATGTGATTGCAATATGCTACTGTGCCCAGCTCAGCAGAACTCCCAAACTCAGTGGAGTGTGGTAGCAATTTAGATCATTAAGACACGTACAAATTTTCACAAGTGCCTAGTGATTTTTGGGTGCCTCACTATATGGCAGCCCAGCTCGAGATGCTTTAAAGGAGCCTGAATTCCAGTAAGTGCGGAGCACCTGCCTCTCCCCTGCAAATCAGGCTCCTGCCTGGTGTCTCATTGAACACTATAAAATGGAGGCACTGACACTTTTGAAAAGTTAGGCATTGTGCCTTTAAGAAATGACTGCTTAAATGAACTGTCAATCAGTAGGATAACTCCTTCTGGAAAAGGAGGAACTGGGACCAATGATCTCCGGCCACTGAAGAGAGCAGATCTGTGTTTTCAGTGTAGCAGCAAATATTAAGTTCTTTGTCAAGAATTGTATAACTTTACAAAGATGGTTTCTCCTGAAAATACGACATCTTCTCTGTAGAAGACCATACCGGGAGCCAAGTCTTTAGAAAGTCATGCAAGGTGGAAATGACTCAAGGGTTAATAGTAACCCTATACTGTAGCCAAAATACTGTAACTTACATGAGTGTGTGTTACAATAGGGTTTATAAAGAGGGCAGAGCATACTGTAAAGTCTCTGTGGGGAAAGCTATGGTCCTTTTAAACAGCACAAAGCAACACATCAGTTTAGGATAAAAAATGCAGAATGCTGGGTTCAACTGTAACTTCAGGGGGAATTTCATGTAGGGAGAATGCAATTCCCAGTGGAAATTTAGCCATGCCACTGGGGATGAACACCCTCTAGACCTTTCACTCACTTATCATTCCATTTTCCAGTCCACTCCACTTCCCCCCAGGGATTTCGGATTCTGATCAGCTTTTGCATGCTTCCTCGGCAATTCACCTGATGGGATTAGAAGTGCAGAAGGGACTGAGTTACACAGGGAGCCTGTCTTGTAATAAACACAGAAGAAAGCACAGTGGTTGAAATACTTGCACCCCATTCCTTAGCTATTTATGTCATTTTGTACCTGGTTATTTAGTTGGAGAGGCAGAAAGCCACATTGGCTTTGGATAAGCTCTGATTACCTAATGCATGCAGACAGGAAATTTAGATTGTGTGCAAATCAAATATCTGTATGCTTGGGGGCAGCCAAAATCATTCTTGTGCTGGAAGAATGACATGTCTAAGAGGGTTTAATAATAAAGAGCGGAGCTGCAGAGGGAATGTGAGGTTATTCACAGCACCACAGCAATTCTTACAGTGTGGTTTTACTCTACAAAGCGCTGGAGTAAAAATGGTACCTTCCTACTCAACCAATCTGTCCCCCACATGTATTGAGAGTCATACCAGCAACTGAGTACATACAGGACACTGGGGTGACTGCTCCTGTTCTTGTAAAGACGGCCACAGGTTCTTTCCTCACCACAAACACTCTGGATCTCAGCGGTGCCAACCCCAACACTGCAGTGCCTCCTAGCACCCCACTGAGGCTTTGGTTTGCCAGTGACTGATCCCTACACAGACACATCAGGGTTAGGACCCGTCTGAACTTTAAAAATCCCAACCAGAAAACAGTGTTATTTGGGAGGAGGCACCGGATTCATTTGAAGTAGGGAATTGCACAATGGCTGTGAGCTTGAAGCCAAGAAAATAGATATGCTTTCTCGTGAGCACTGGTGCACTATGGTGCATGCAGTAGCTGAAACAGCACAGAGAAGCCTGTGGGGCTTACTGGTGGGCCTGAGGTCTGAGAAGGTTAATGGGGGTCTGAAATGAAACAGCCACTAGGAAGAGCCTGCAGAGATTTCAAAAGAGTAAAGCCTGGCCCAGCCTTGGGTATGTCTGAGTCAGGAACAGAAGAACTCCCCACTGACTGCTGTCACTGGGAGGGGGAGAGCCAACAATCAAAGGCTAGCTGCAATCCTGCATGCTGCCAATTCCCATTTAGCTTCATCAGCCTGGATGCAGCACGCCAGGGACTGACACCACTTTCATTTGAGAGGCAGGGGCATTTCAGGAGTAATGAATAGGGGCCTGATCCAAAGACCATTGAAAAATCAATGGAAAGGCCCCCTATGTTTCCATAATCCATCTGCTTCCCTTCTATCCTCTCCCATCTTTCCTTTACCGAGCCAGGCAATTCAACATCTTTCACACAGTGAGATCATCAGTCCCTCCCAGTGGAGCTGCTGGGCAGCTATTCCAGGAGATGAATATGTCGTTCCCCTGGGTATGCATTCCTCTCTCTCATATGTGCATCCTGCTGTTCTCTGAACTGCCTCATTACTCAGAGTAGAGTAATAATCACTCACAGTACAGTGTGCTGGGCTTGGATTTCCCACTGGGAGCTCTGTGCATGGACAATTTACAGTATCACGTGCCAAGATTATAAAGTGGTAACAGGACAGTCTAGGACGATGCCATTTTCAAAAGAAAACTCCAAAGCCTGAGGCCCAGTGCAGGGCCGGTGGAAGGATGTTTTGCGCCCTACGCGAAACTTCCACCTTGCGCCCCTCCCCTGTCCCCAAGCCCCCTCCCTGAGGCGTCCGCCCCCACGGCAGCTCCTCCCCTCCGTCCTGAGGCGCCCCCCCTGCAGCAGCTCCCCACGAAGCACCCCTCCCCCGCCCCAGCTCACCCCTGCCCTGCCTCCTCCCCAAGCACACCGTCGCTGCTTCACTTCTCCCGCCTCCCAGGCTTGTGGCGCCTACTGATTGGCGCCGCAAGCCTGGGAGGTGGGAGAAGTGAAGCAGCCAAGGCATGCTCGGGGAGGAGGCGGGGCAGGGGTGAGCTGGGGCAGGGAGTTCCCTTGCGTGCCGCCTTCCCTCCCTTGCTGTAGGCGGCCTTCCCCGCGCTCCACTGCCCCAGCTCCCTCCGCCTAAATGCCGGCGGCGGCCGAAGATCCGGCTGCC